ATTAAACCCAAGTACAAAAGCAGCAAAGCTACTTCAGGATTTGGTGGAGGCAGAAACGGATGTCAGAGCTGCTGTGTTCCCTGCACGGTGGCGGGTGGAACCCCTCAGGCGTGTTCCTCCCCTGGTGGGTGGAGTCGGCCCAGCCTCAGCGCCCCAGAGAGTGGAGGGACTAGCCCCCAGCAAGGACCGCAGTAGGCTCAGGTGACCCTTGCCCTTCTGTTCGTGCTACAAACCTCTGGCGACAAGAAAGTGGAAAGCAGAAGTATATCAACTTCCATATATCTGGGAAGATGGATGGATGTGGGGTATGTGTACAAACAAACGGGTCCTGGGTAAATTAGAAAGCATAGGAAGGAGAGAACTATTGCAGAACGTGGAAAAGATCTGCCGACGCTAATCAGGAAGAAATCCATATAACTCTATAAGAACACTAACAAGTTTACGAGGGAAGTATAAGAGAGACAGAAATTTAGTATGGCAAGACAACAGAATTAGTGATGCCCGGAAGAAACACACGACCCAGTGAACGGAAGCAGATTCCCTGAGAATGGTTCAAGCCGTGAAAGTTCTATTTAGACCTTTCTAAAAATATACGTTAAATAAAACAAGCAACAGAGTGAGATGAAAAGGAGGATTTCAGAGCAAAGAAAACAAATTAGGAACCAAACACCTCAGGAAAAATAAGCCAGTTAGGCACCAGGAGCAGCAATAGGATAGGGGAGGCCCGGCAGGGTATGATGAAGGGGACAGTGGCTCACTTCCCCCTGAGCCTTCTTGTCATTGCTGTCATGACTGGGAGGGCTCTTTAAGCTGCATTCAGAAAGGCCCGTCCCCCTATCTCCTGCCTGCTCAGGTGTGATGAGGGAGCAGAAGGCAAGCTGAGGACAAAGCACAAGCTGACTGCCCACTCCCAGGTGGCATCTGGGTGACATTCCTCAGGCACTCCTGCCTGCCCTAAAACTAAGGAAAGGGAAAAACAGATGGTTAACTAGTAGAGATCTCAGTCCAACAGGACTGAGTCCCCCTCTGTTTACAAATGTCTTAGTGATTTACAAGAAAAAAAGCATTCTTATCAATAGCCTAACTTCCAGAAGGAAACTCCCAACTGTCTTAATGTTAATCCTTTACTAGAAGGAAAAACAGCCTTAACTTGACAATGACAAGGCCTCCAGTATCTTGTAGGTCCTCTTGAGCTTATGACATTTCTTTTGAAAACCTGCTTTTTTTCTTACCTCCCCCAACTCCAAGTATATAATCAATTGCTCCTCACAACTCCAGGGCAGCTCTTACTACCCACGGGTCCTGTCCCCGGTGCCTTAATAAAACCACCTTTTTGCACCAAAGATGTCTCAAGAATTCTTTCTTGGTCATGGGCTTTGAACCCTAACATCTCTCCTACATCAGTCTGGTGTCTTTCCTGCACACCAGCACCTCTCAACTTCCCTTGTTCCTCAGCGCCTCCTGCACTGTCAGCTCTGAAGAGACACGTGTTTCCTTTTTCACAGATGCTGTACTGTTTGCACCTTCACATCTATCTATTTATCTATCTATCTATCATCTATCTATCTATCTATTTTAAAGATTTATTTATTTATGTGAGAGAGAGGAAGGGGGGCGCAGAGGGAAAGAATCCCAAGCAGCCCAGTGTGGGACTCTCCTGATCCCAGGACCCTGAGATCATGACCTGAGCTGAAATCAAGAGCCAGACGCACAACTGACTGAGCCACCCATGCACCCCAACCTTCACATCTATTTAAAGCCTCCTTTGCACAACCTATATGTGTTGCTTGCCATATACCCACTTGTGGGCTTAATCCAAAGACTCAATAATTGAAGGAGAGTTTCTGCTGTGTGGACAACATTGGCTTTAGAGGCAAACCACCCTGGATTGGCTTCCCGTTCCCACCAGTTATTAGCTGAGAACCATGGAGCAAGCTGCCTAACTTTTCTAAGCCTCATTTGTAAAGCAAGAATAATATATTTCAGGTTTATCATAACTATTAAGAGAGATTATGCCTAGCATATATTAAGCCTCATTAAGTAATAGCTACTTTATTTATTTTTCAGACTTCAATGTTGTAAATAGATAGTATACAAGATTTTAAATAGTGGTAAATAGATAGCTGAGATCATTAATATTGCCCTTAAAAGACTGTCAGTCTGTTGAGAATTACTTGGTGTCCCATCTACTATGATCTACTATGCTTGCCCTTCCTTCCTTCCTTCCTTCCTTCGTTTTTCTTTGGAGAAACGTCCCATCTTTTTACAGAAAATATTTCTAAAGGAATTCAAGCTTACTATGAAAACATACAGACAACAGAGAAATATATACAGGAGAATGGCAGGTTGTCTTCCATCCCACACCACCATCCGTATTCTCATGCCTCTGGACTCTGAGAAGCTTGATACAGATCATCTAATTTGCTCTTCTGTGCATGTGTGTGAGCTGAAAATTGGTATTTTATTTAACGTATCCTGTTTGAGAAAGTCTGCTTTTTCTGTGTATTTATGCCACAAATTAGTGGAATATGGCATTCTAGGCTCTCTGTTGTCCTCAGAGTCTGGGAGAATATTGCCCCATTGTCCTCTGGTTCTAATCAAGTGTGTTTTTGTTCTGCTCGAATCATCTCTATCCTCTTTTTTTTTTTAATGTAACTGATCCACTGCATGCTGAGAGAGCCATAACCATCCCAAACTCGATTATGAGTTCATCAAATTTTAATTTGCTTTGTAGCAGTTTTTGCTTTCAGTGCTTTGTTCTTAGGGCCCTAAAAACCGATGAAAATTATATCTTTGGTGAAGTGTAACTTTTACCCATGAAAAAGATTCATCTTTGTGTATTTTAATTCTTTCCTCTTTGAATTCAGTTGCATCTCATATTAGTACTGGCACTTCTGGTTTCTTTTTGCTGTGTTTCTCAGATACAGCTTTGTTGATATATAGATTTCCACACTTTCAGTCCTTCTGTGTCAGCTTCAAGTCTGTCTTTTACAAGCAGCTTATACCTAGATGTTCTTAGCCCAATCCAAGAGCCTCTGTCTTTTGATATAGAAATTTAACCCATTCATATATAGTGATAACTTCAGTGTATCTCTTGCTCTTGCCTTCTTTCTTATTTTGTTTTTATGCTTTCTTTCTTTCTGCATTTTTTCTTGACTAAGTTTTCTCTATTCCTTGAAATCCCCAACACATTTGTAGATTGTACATTTTATCTCTATTTTTCCAGCCCTTACCTTAACATTTTAAATTTAATTTTTAATCTTTAATTACCCAAGAAATTACATGCGTACATTCTCCTGATTTGAAAAAAAAAAAAAATACCAATGAGGCTAAAGCTCTTTTGACCATCTCTTTCAATACCAACTCTCTCTATTCCACAATCCAAAAGTTTATTGTGGTTTAACCCTAACTTTTTTGACATTTACATTGACATATATTAACTTTGTTTTATTTTTGTCTTACATAAACTGCATCACCAGGTTCTGCTATTTTAGAATTTTTTTGCTCAGCAGAATATTCTGGACACCTGTCCACGTTAATTCGCATGCATCTATCTGTTGTTTTTAACTGATAAACAGCAAGCCATGGTATGAATGATGCCAATTTTTTATTTGCTCCTCCTTTATGCTGAAGAGAAATTAAGGAGAAACTGTACAAGAGGTACTTTTCTCAATAATGTTTTGCTACTTGAATAAACTTTTTAACATTTGATTTTTATTATGAGAAATAAAGTTTTATAAAGCTAACTAAAATTGCATATAATCCCATGAGGCAAGATGGTCACTGAAGACATTTTGATAAATATTCTTTAGATTTTGCTTCTATGTCTGGTTTTGTGTTTTCTACTCATTTTTGGTTTTTTGATGGTTCATTTCACAAAATTTGGTTTATTTAGGGCACAGTATCTTGGAATCTGATTTTGAAATTTTTTCCCTTAAGCATTTTCCAATATTATCTAATAATTATTTTAATTACCATATGGTATGCCACCTATAGTTAACTGTAACTTATTTAACCAATCTCCCATTGTTTGACATTTAGAGTATCTACAAGTTGGTTAAAAAAATCTTGATGGACGCCTGGGTGACTCAGTTGGTTAAGCGTCTGCCTTTGGCTCAGGTCATGATCCCAGGGTCCTGGGATCAAGTCCTACATTGGGCTCCCCGCTCGGCAGGGAGTCTCCTTCTCCCTCTCCTTCTGCTGCTCCCCCTGCTTGTGCTCTCTCTCCCTCTCTCTCTCTCTCTCATAAATAAGTAAAATCTTTTAAAAAAAAAATCTTGAAATACAAACTTTTTCTGAATTTATTACACTTAGACCATTTCTTAATAAAAGTGGTAAATCTCATCGGATTTAAGTGAGAATTTTAAAAGAGTGTGTGTTTGCATAAATCTTTAAGTGCGGTATTAAACAATTTACTTATGTTTCTGGCTCAGAGCTGGCAATTTGATGTTTTCTTTCTTTTTTTTTTTTTTTTTTGGCAAAAAATTAGCTCTGAGAAATGTAGAAGTAGGACTACTTTCTCTAGGAATGGACTGTTTTTTTCCTAACTTGTTTATATGTGTCATTACTTAAAAAGACATGAAAGTCAAGCCAGAATATTTGCCACTCAGTTGACTAGCATGGGAAGAATTCCTGGAAAGGTTTACTTGGAGAATGTGGACTTTAAGATGTGCCACTACCACACTCCTCAGTATCTCATCAAGTCTGTGACCACGTCAGTTATAAGAAGCACCATTATCTTGTGTCATGAAGTAAGAGCAAACACTGCCAATTAGACAAGGTTATGCCATCAGTTAGTTGTTAAAAGGTGGGAAAATCCGCCTTAGACTCAATAAAGTAAATGGCATCACATCCTCCAATCCTAGCCATTATTAGTGAGAACGAGATGGCCGTGAACGAGGTCATCTGTGCACCCCCACACAGATTTCCCCATCCAGTGAGCTTGTTTCAGTGCTTCTTTGACTTGATTGTAGCCCCTGTGTCCCCCTGTCACTTTGCAGGTGTGGGGCGGATCTGAGGCAGGATCAGCAGCAGCTCCTGGAAGGGATCTCAGAGCTGGACATCAAGACGGGAGGAGTCCCCTCGCAGCTGCTGGTGCACGGGGCCCTCGCCTTCCCTCTGGGGTTGGATGCCTCGCTCGGCTGCTTCCTGGCAGCTGCCCGCTATGGCCGGGGCCGGGTGGTCCTGGCTGCCCATGAGGCCATCCTCTGTGCTCCCAAGCTGGGGCCCTTTTTGCTCAATGCTGTGCGCTGGCTGGCCAGAGGCCAGACGGGCAAATTGGGGGTGAACACACATCTAAAAAACCTGTGTGCCCTCCTGTCAGAGCATGGCCTGGAGTGCAGTCTGCAGCCCCATCTGACGCATGACTTGCGTGTCTACTGCTGTGTGGCTTACAGTGACCAGGAGGCTAAGCAGCTGCAGGAGTTTGTGGCTGAGGGTGGGGGCTTGCTGATCGGGGGCCAGGCCTGGTGGTGGGCCTCCCAGAACCCAGGCCGCTCTGCTTTGGCTGGTTTCCCCGGTAACGTTATCCTCAACTGCTTAGGCCTCAGCATCCTAGCTCAGACCCTTGATGCAGGCTGTTTCCCTGTCCCTACCCCCGAGATGCGGAGCTACCACTTCCGCAAGGCGCTGTCCGATTTCCAGGCTGCATTGAGCCATGGGGCTGGGAACTTGGAAAAGCGCTGGCTGGCAAAGCTGGGAGCAGATGGCGCAGCCTTCCTACAGATCCCTGCAGAGGGGGTCCCTGCTTACATATCCTTGCACCGACTCCTGAGGAAGACGCTGCGTCTGTCAGGCCTCCCAGCTGTGAGCCGGGAGCACCCTGTGGCTGGTGACTCCTTTGAGGCTGCAGTGCTCTGCCTGGCCACGGAGCTGGCACACTCTGGGACCGACTGCTCCCAGCTGGTACAGGAGCTTGGAACCTGGACCTGCAGCTCAGGACACCCCATCACTGTGGAGATCGATGGGAGCAACCCAGGTACAGAGTGAGGGGTTGCAGCCAGAGCATCAGAACCCGGGGGAAGGTGGGGTTCCCGGGCTCACAGGACACTGCAGGTACTGAAGCTCAGGTGGGCCAGCTTCATTGTCTATCATGTCCTTTTGGGAAGATGGGGTTGGGGTTCTGCTGAGGGTTTTGGAGGGATGCATGCCAGAAGCATGGATGAGTTGAGGGAGGCGGGGCAGGGGCTGTGCCTCCAGGAGGGGCTGTGGGGCTCCAGGTGCTGCAGAGGCAGGTGAGTGAAGAACTCAGCCTTTCCTATGGCTTTTGTCAGGCCACTGTGATGCCTGGGTGAGCACCGGGCTCTACCTCCCAGGTGAACAGAGTGCAGAAGTCTCACTGTCTGAAGCCGCAGCCTCTGCCGGCCTGAAGGTAAGGCCAGAACCTCCACTGCCGACTCCTCAAACCACAGAGCCACTTGCTTTTCCTCAGCTCTCAGCAGTGCTGCCAGGAGGCCAGGAAGGGACTATTCTGCCCATTTCATAGACTTCATAGACGAAGCAGCTCAATTTCAGGGAGCCTAAAGGAGGGACTAAATGCCAGAGCTAATTTCAGGTACTCGAACCTAAACCCCTGGATTTCCATGTGGGGTGATTTTACCCCCCCCCCCACAGGGATATGAGGGGGTCCAGGAGTACCTGTCACATCCTCAGGACTTCACCCATTTGGCCAACAGCACACAGCCTTTCTGCATTGTACGTCATTACCTGGACACCTGAAGGGTGTGCTTCATTGGACCACAAAAATAGGCCCTAGAGGCAGAATTAAAATTGTCCTGCCTCAACTCTGAGGGTCACTTCCTGTTACAGGGTGTCTTCTGTGTTAGCCTCCTTTCTGGAGCTCGCTTACATGAAACCTAAGAAAAGAAACCCCAGGATTCCAGACAAAACAGCCCTCAACCCATCTGACCAGGAAGAGGAGCCCTCGACAAAGGGGGAAGTGAGAATCAGTCCTCCCCACTCAGGCCAGATCCCGCTGCCTCTAGATGGGTGGTCTCCTGTCTGTGTACAAAGGGTCACCAATATCCCCTCTGGCTCATCCTGGCTTTGGAATCACCACACTGGTGTAGGCCCTGCCACAAGAGACCGGACTTGACCCGGTACAGAGGCCCCGTGGGGCCCTAGTCAGTATCAGCCTCAGGATTATCCTGCCTGGTCTGTCTGGTGACAATCCATTGTAAAGCTGTTTAAATCCCTGGAAGAATGGTTCCACATACCTCTCAGTCCCGATGACTTTTGGGGTACTAAAATTTCATAGGTTTCCATGCATAGCTCATCGAAGGAGGAGGCTGGTGTTTTTCTAGTACCTGCCATTCACCCATCACACACCACAGGGACCTAGTTCCTCCTACACATGGTGGAATCACTTCCCCAGGTACAGATTGGCTGCCACACTGATAACTTGTCCAAGGCCAGCAAGCTGTCTCGAGCCCCTGTGGTGACTCATCAGTGCTGTATGGACAGGACCATACGATCCATCTCCTGCCTCTGGGGTGGCCTTCTCTATGTCATCGTGCCAAAGGGCAGCAAACTGGGCCCCATATCTGTCACCATCAAGAGGGCTGTGCCTGCCCCATACTACAAGCTGGGTGAGTGGACTGAATGCTGAGGGAAGAGGGGGCACTGGGGATGCCACCATAGTTATGGGCCAGTTGCTAAGGAAGGGTAGGGTAGGGAATGGCAGACAGAAGGGGGGAAGAACTGTTCAAGATGTAAGCAGAGGTGGGAGCTATGGAATACCATGTCCATGGAGACTTCCGGCAGAACCAAGAGGAGGCTCTGGAGGCCAGTCCTTTACTTCATAGCATGTAGACCCACATGTTAATAGTTCATTATTTCAGTGTCCTCCTCCTGGAGTTCAAGGTAAGTTGGGGAAATGGGTGACAGGCCCACAATATTTATTCCCAGGTAAGACATCTCTGGAGGACTGGAAGAACTGTATCCAGGAGAGCACAGCTCCCTGGGGAGAGCTGGCAACAGACAATATCATCTTGACGGTGCCGACTGCAAACCTGCAAGCCCTGGAGGACCCCGAGCCGGCGCTCCGCCTCTGGGATGAGATGATGCACGCGATAGCCCGGCTAGCAGCCCGGCCTTTCCCTTTCTGCTGTCCCGAGAGGATTGTTGCTGATGTGCAGATCTCAGCTGGTGGGTGCTTCTAGTCAGTGGATGCCATTTATTCATTCTTTTGTCTTTTATAATGCCCCATATGTGAAAGGCATAATCTCACCAGTAAAGCAAAAAAGACATAACAGACGTAGACCTTGATGGGGGTGCAGAGATGTTCCCATATGAAAAGGTGAATCATTTACATCTACAAGGTGAGATTTCACAGGATGGTAGAACAATCTCAGAAAAAAAAAATGCTACTAGGAGTTCACAGATAGCAATGAGCCATCTCTTCATTGTTTCAAGGAGAAACAGAAACATTCCTTCAAACAGAAGTCAGAGTTGGCAAAGGAAGGAAAGAGTAAGGAAAGAAGTTTATGTTAAGTATTGACTGGTTTACATGAAAGAAAAAATAAGGAAACGTGGTTCTGACATACAGAACATTCCTTTGGATCTCAGTTTTCTCTTTAAAAAAGGAGAAGATTATCTCTGCTAAAGCGCATAAATCTGTACAACCGTGGCTTACACGGCAGAAGAAGAACTGACATTGCTGCAGCCTCAGGGATCTCAAATCCAGACACAGGACATAGTGTCACAGACTCACATGATAGGAAACTCACACAGAATGAAGCACTGAACTACAGTGAGAATGGCTATGGAAAGTGTACTGGTCCTGTTCAGGGCCAGAGCGGGGAGGAGGGCATAACCCTGGCATGGAAGGCTCGGAAGGGGGCTGGGGACTGTTCAGTTTCTGACCAAGCAGAGCAAGCCATCTACTCTCTAATCAGCATGGAGATTCTGGCATTACTGGGGGCAGCCAGGATGGTGAGGAAAAGTTACCCAGTGGAGAGGCATGAAGGGAAATGGTTTGGGTGCCCCCCACCTCTGCCATGCCTCATCTCTTCCGTCTGAATTCCCAGGCTGGATGCACTCAGGATACCCCATCATGTGCCACCTGGAGTCGGTGCAAGAGCTCATCAATGAGGCAGGCATGAGGAGCACGGGTCTGTGGGGACCCATCCATGAGCTGGGTCACAACCAGCAGCGACAAGAGTGGGAGTTCCCACCACACACCACTGAGGCTACCTGCAACCTCTGGTCTGTCTATGTGCATGAAACGGTCCTGGGCATCCCCAGGGCTAGGGCCCACCCTGCTCTGAGCCCTCCAGAACGAAAGAAGAGAATCAAAACGCACCTGGAAAAAGGAGCCCCCCTGCATGACTGGAATGTGTGGACAGCTCTAGAAACATATCTACAGGTACGGAGCAGAAAGGCAGGGAGGTGAGGGCCAGCAGACCCCTCCATCATGTAGCATCCTGGACCCCCTTCCCCATCCCCTCCAGCCTGGGCATGGGGGACCTGACTGCCTAGTGGGACTTCTCTAAGACTGAGGAAATAACACCTGCCCCAGGCCCCCTGTGTGATGTTAACTTTGTGATGTTAAGTAAGAGGAAATGAAAAGTATTCTGGAAACCAAGTAGAGAAACTACAGCTTACTGGTCTACCGGTCATGAGCAGAAGTTCTGAGTTAGTCATTCCTGAGGTTGGAGCCCAGCACTTCCACTCACTGGTTTTGACCATGGTCTCCTAATAAGTGCTCCAGAAGTGGGTGTTGTTTTGTTGTGCTTTGTTTCTCTTAACCTTAGTTTTGTGGATCAAGTGAGTGTTGCATCCCTTCGTCCCTTCGTGATAACAGTGGTGTGTCTCCAGGACAACTGCATTACAAGAGGCTTTTTAGGAGATAACTGTTGTTGAGGCTATCTGACTTCAGTCATCCCACTTGAACCTGAAATGTTTTTAGAATGAATGAATGAATAACCAACTAACCCAATGGGAGAATACCAAAGTCCTGAAGCAGGTGGACTTCCTGTGAAATATGCACAAAGCCCTGTCCTCTCCCCAAGACTGCTCTGAACATTAACATTTCCGAGTTGTCAAAGCTGTTCCCCAGATGTCATCTGACCTTAGGTTTTACACCCCAGAGTCAGAATTCTCCTCCACAAAAGGGCGAGTGGTCTGGGACACCCCAGGATACCTGCTCATTCTAGACCTCTATTATCTTAGCTGACAAGGGCTTCCCGGCTGTGGCTTTCAGGTGGGCTGCCCCTCCGTGAACATGAGTCACTCTCCTTTTGAGCCCCTTGTGATATGCCTGCTTCTTCCTGTTTTGCCCCAAAGGGAGTGCTCCACAGAGCAAAATAGTAGCCTTGAAAATAGTTACAGATCTGAAATGGCTGTATAAAAACAGGGATTTTATTATGTCTGGAAAGTGTTGGAAGTTCCCAGCCTTTAGGGTCCCAAAGGCCAAACATGCGAGATATAAGGGTTTCCCATCTCAGTCAGGCTCAGACCCGTCTGATGCCTAGGAAAACATTTAGTATCTGGGAATATAATTTTTTTTAATTAGAGATCATTATAATAACTCATTTGTTGAATATTTATGCCTTTTCAGATATTAGTTTCCCTGTGAAGTCCCCTACTAAATAGAAGGGTTATAGGTTTTGTGGCCAAGAGGTGGAGTGAGCCAATGGGATTATATTTATGTGCAAGGGTAGGGTAGGGACACAGAGACAAATCACAGGAGGAAAGCTCATGAATGATCAAGGGGAAGGAATCACTGTAACTGAAATACACTTGGAACGTGCACGTTGCAGGTACCTCCACAAACTGGTTCCTCACCCTGTCCCTCTCTCTCTTCTCAGCTCCAGGAGGCCTTTGGGTGGGAGCCATTCACCCAGCTCTTTGCTGAGTACCAAACGCTTTCTGGCATCCCCAAAGACAAGGATGGCAAGATGAATCTGTGGGTGAAGAAGTTCTCTGAAAAGGTGCAGAAGAATCTGGCTCCATTCTTTGAGGCCTGGGGCTGGCCTGTCCAGAAGGAAGTGGCGAACAGCCTGGCCTGTTTGCCTGAGTGGCAGGAAAACCCCATGCGGGTATACAGGCATCCTCAGAAGTAAACGACGTGCAGCCAGGTGGGGGGGGGGGGAGAGGCAGTTAAGTCATAAGACAAAATGACACCAACTTTCTCAGGAAAATGCCTTTGTTACTGTTCCCGTTTATACTGTTGCTCTCACTGACTTGTTTCACCACCCTAATCCTCCAGCAGAGGATCTTACACCTGCGTATCTTAAGGTCCTGCAGGCTCTCAGCTCCTACTTTTGACCAACAGTTCTTTTTTTTTTTTTTAAGATTTTATTTACTTGAGAGAGAGAGAGAGCACAAGAGAGCAAGCATGAGCAGGGGGAAGGGCAGAGGGAGAGAGAGAGAAGCAGACTCCCCGCTGAGCAGGGAGTCAGATCATAACCTGAGCCAAATGTAGATGCTTAACCGACTGAACCAGCCAGGTGCCCCTTGATCAACAGTTCTAAAGACTATGGGTTACCATAATAATCTGATATCACTCCTCACCCCTGCCAGCCCTGAACATGGCTGTTAATTTCTTATGCTTTGGGAAGTTTTCTAATGGCAAGAGAGACAGGCTGATATAGAGAGCCCTGAACTTGCTTTGGTACTATGGAAAATCTCTTAAAAAGTCTCTGTCTATGCTTCTGTATTCTCATCCATGACATGGGGATAAAAGTCTGGTGTTTGATAATGGTAAACATGTTCGTCCACTGCAATATGCATACACATGCAAAGGTATTCTTTAGCTTTTGCCAGGGCCCATGGTGGTCTGTCTGGACAACCTGAAAACTGAATCCCACTTCAGAGTTGGCCACCTTGAGGTGGGCATGTAGTCTCTGTGTAAGAGTGTTTAATGCATTATCAGTGTTGTTCCAGACATAATATCACTGATAGTTATTGAGATCCTAGCCTGTCTTTTGTCCCTTCTCCCACATCTGGAAGGATTCTTGGGTATGACCTAACCCAAAGAACTGTGTAAACTCAAAAGAGACAGTATAAAGAATACCTGGGTGGCTCAGTCAGTTAAGTGTCTATCTCTTGATTTCGACTCGGGTTGTGATCTCAGGGTAGTGAGATCAAGCCCTGCGTGGGGACTCCACGCTCAGCAGAGAGTCTGCTTCTCCCTCTCCCTCTGCTCCTCCCCCTGCTCATTCACCCTTTCTCTCTCTCTAAAATAAATAAAATCTTAAAAAAGAGAGAGATGGTATAAACTCAAACTGGATGTCACAAAGCCACTTAGTCTTCTTGGTTAGTTCCATCTTCTAGTACTTTTGTTTCAACCAAAAGTAAATGTCACATCGCTTCTCGGCCTTTTGGCTAAGATCAAGTGTAAAAGTAAATGTCACGTAGCAAAGCCTGCCAAGTCCACCAGCCTGTTTGTTCTTTGCACAGAATAGGCAACTGACCCCTCTGGTCACCATAGAATCAAGGCGGTGTCTGGTGTTAACAGCAACCGTGATGAGAAGTCCGCCTGCACAACAGGTTTTGCTTGGGACCAGGATTATTCTGGGTGCAGCAGACCAAATTAATCCACAACGCAGCCTCCCTGAGCTTTCACACAATCCATTCTAACCCATCCCAACTCTTTGGCTAAGTGGAGTTCTCATTAGACCTCCATCTCCAGGATTAATGATGGGGTGTGGCCATTTTTCCCTAGGTTGCTTTTAAACCATATTTTTGTCATGTTGAATATCATTCCATGAGCTGTGTTCAGAGCAGAGTGGCTCCTCAGAAGGAGAAGTGATGTAGGGAATGTCTTTTTATGAATCCCATCATCCTCCTACTGATTCTAGGATAATTTCCTTTTATTCCACTATTATCCTTTGCCAGGTGCTTTTCACATGAAAGGCACGCAATAAACATTTGTGAATGGAAAGAACAGTGATGACACCTAGCACACAATGACAGTCAGTCTGTCCCAGGCATTGTGTGGGGTGTTTTCTATGAGCTATCCCATGGAATCTTCACAACAGACCTTCGAAGCAGGTACTGTTATTATTCCCACATCATAGTTGAGGAGACAGATGTCTAGGGATATTAAATAACTCTGAAGTAACCAAGCTAATAAGAGGAAGAGTCAGGGCTTGAGTGAAACCCCCAGCAATGAAAAAAATCCTCCATGAAGACTTAGCATTTAAACAAAAATTCACCTAGAAAATGGAAGCTCACCAAACTTCTGATTTAGCTCATGTTTACTACTGAATTTTTATTAAATATCAAATTTAACCTCCAAAAAGACATTGGTACCTGATTTTCTCGTCTCCACATATGATTAGCCTCCCTATAGGTAGAGGAAAGATTTGAACCCAGGAAATTCAACTTCAGAACTGGTGTTCTTAACCATGACGTTAAGGAGGAGTACATGGATGGAAAATACTGGGTTTAAGAGGCTGCCATAGAGACAAAGACAAAAACCTGACTGCTCCCCACACTCTCTGTAGTGGAAACTAGAATCTTCCCCTTCTTACAAGGGGAAGCTCTGCTGCTTGTTTCTAAGTTCACAGTAGTTGTAACTGTGACTGTCTCAGGGCATTCTGTATTCCAGCGTATATTTGCTCGCAAGCATGTGAATGTAGCCATGATAAATCATCAATAAATGCTGTTTGCCAGGAACTATTATAAGTGCTTTTATTTATTTATGCTCACAACAGTCCTACAGAATAAGTACTATTACTGTCTCCACTTTGCAGAGAAGGAAGCAGAGCTACAAAGCTAAGTGGTGAAGCCACGTTTCCAGCCCTGTTCGCTGGGACTCCAGAGCCCACACTTGCAGCCAACACGCTACAGATGCTTACTGGGTCTGCCATAACCTGCAGCTCTATGTGCATGAAACTTACATGTATGTGGCTACTGACCACAAACGGCCAACCTGATTCAAACTGCTAAAAAACCCAGCATGTTATTTCTAGTTACTCAAAAAGAAATTACTTAATCCGATGAGGGTCATTCACCCAAGGTACACATCCTTTAATACCACAACCCTGCCCTACCTAGTCTGGAGGATTTAAGATCCGATGCTTCAAAATAACAGCTCGGTGGAGTCCTAGAAGCTTGTCTGAAACACAGGACTTGTATCCAAGTGTCCTTTGTTCATTCTTAAGGATTCCCCAACTTCCATCTTCATGTCTCAGAGTGTGGGACAAGGAACCACGTATATTCTCATAGGCTATTAGATCTAATATCTGAAATACCCACATTCCTAGAAAACTGGATAAATTTCAAAGGAAAGACATCACCCTAGGGTAATTTAGGGAAGTAGTAAATGCTGCCTTACAGTTTTAAAGGCGATAAGAAGGACTCTACCTATATCTTCTCCCCTCAGCACTATATAGCCACTGACTTATCAGAAGAATGGGCAATTAATTTCAAAACCATTAAAGC